AATGTTATAACTATTAATATGTTGTCCTTCAATATATTCATTACTTAATTCATTTTTTATTACTCATGTTTGTTTATTATAGATAGCATGCCGAGGAGAAAAATAATTGATTTGCGGCTTGTTCGAGCTTCTGAAGATCATGAAGAAAGAAATAACGAGGAATCGAATGCACCTGACTCTTCCGAAGTTCCTGAAACTGTTAAAGAAGAAGTAGAAATTCAAGGTAATCTTCGAAACATTATTTACTACTTTGTTCATTTTCAAAACTGTCATTTAATAATTTATTATATAGTTGAAAATGCTGGAACGCGCAAGACTCGAGGACGTACAACTTTGAAGGAATTATACCAACTTCCTCCTGGGCATCGTGTTAAAGTTTCAAGAAATGATGTCGGTCAACCTATTGGCCCAAAATCACGTCTTCTAGCAGGTTACTTAGGCATAGTTGGACGTAATGTGAATCTGTTACCGATCAATTACGAGTCATGGCGCGAAATGCCTAATAGTAACAAAAATCAGGCGTTGGATTTTGTTAAAGTAATAATTTCATTATTATTATATACTCTATAGAAATTCAATACTAATGTATACTTACGGTGCACACTTATTTACTGTATAGGAGAAATTTTCTTTAGAGGTCTCTGACGATTATGTTAAGCAAGCGTTAGGGAAGAGATGGAGGGACCACAAGAGCTCCTTAAAGAAGAAATACTTCAAGAATGATCTCAGCCTTGAAGAGAAGTTACAAACAGTCCCACCAGGAATGCTCAGGTACCAATGGGAAGATGCAGTCAGATTTTGGAGTTCAAAAAAAGAACAGGTATGATGTATTTTTCAGAAATAATTGTAACGAATTGTAAATCATCATTAAAAGTGGTTGTTTGACATTGTAGGACCGAGAGCATGTTGGTGTTGCTAGACAACAACAAAAGTTTACGCACCCGGCTGGATCAAATAGCTTTGCTTGTATAGCTCATGAGGAGGTATTAAAGATTATTGAAATAGTTTTTTGTATTCCATGTACATACTAACTCATAGTAATTATATTATGGTACATTGTAGGAAAATACATCCGGTTCTAAAGTTGGTCGAATACAACTCTTCGACATGACACATACGAAGAATGATGGCACTCCTATGACTGCTGACGCTACAGAAATTATGGTACGTTTATTGGGTAGATGTTTTAAATTTACCTGACTTTATTTATATTTGTACCATGACATTTTTTATTTTAATTAATTATTCACTTTATTATTAACAAAAATTGAGGGAGAAAAAGGCGGAGCATCATGCTACCGCTTCGAGTCAAGGTGTTGTTAATGATGATGACATTGAAAACCAAGCTATTAATGACGTTTTGGGTCCTGAAAGATTTGGTCGGGTGCGCTGTCAAAGATCATTCGTTACTCCCACAAAATATTTTGGATCCAGTTCATCACATTACATGTCATCACAGTCTCGATCTTCCCACCACGAAGTTAGTCGTTTAAAAGAAAAGATGGCTGAGATGGATCAATAAATGACTAACTTGAAAGCGGAAAATGAAGAAAGGAAAGCAGAGAGAGCAGCAGCGGAAGTAGAGAAAGAAGCAGCAGCAGCACAGAGTGAAGCAGCGACAGCACAGAGAGAAGCAACATATCAGCAGAGATGTGAAGAATTTGAAAAACGAATCAATGATATGATGCTAATGATACAGAGAACGCAACCTCAGCATCCACCATCGTAGTCTCATTTATGTTATGAGCATTCTGTTAATATTACTGAACCTTGTTTAACTGAACTTATATTACGTTAAAGAAAACTTTTATTTATTAGATTGGATTTGATGATGTTTGTTATAGATATAGAGTTTGATGTTATTGTTGTTTTTGTTTGTTAGATAATGGAACAGGTTGAAAAAATAGATTTGGGGGTAATCAAGCATCATTTTTATGTAAAATTTTGTGTTATTTAGCGGCGTCTGTTAAAAAAACGCCGTAATATACCATACATTTAGCGGTGTTTGTATGCTATAAACGCCGCGATATACCGAACTTTAGCGGCGTTTTTATAAAAAACGCCACTAAAGCTCAACATCTATTGCGGCGTTTTCAATAGAAACGCTGCTAATTCTCAACCCTTGTTGCGTCGTTTTCTCCCACAAACGCTGCTTAATCTGAAAACCTACTGCGACGTTTGTGGGAGAAACGCCGCTAAACATCATCGCATATTGTAGCGTTTTTTGAAAAAATGCCGCAAAATATCAACACCTACTGCGGCGTTTGTAGGGAAAATACCGCTAAATATCAACACCTACTGTAGCGTTTGTAGGGAAAACGCCGCTAAACATCAAAACCTATTGCGGCGTTTTTTGTTAAAAAAATGACGCTAACTTTAGCGGCGTTATTTTCAGCGACGCTTTTTGCGGCGTATACCTATTTTGCTATAGTGATTTCACGTAAAACCTAATGGATCTACTGCAAATATTTTCAAGCTCGATCAATCCAGAAGAAGAAACCTATATCCCCGTCCTTCACATGTTCCACATCTATGGCTTCAGAGCTGCCGCCATTAGAGAACTCACGACTTGATGATAAACGATGATTTTATCAAAGTTCGACATAAACGAAATATTATCGAGAATTGAGTGTGAATCTGTGATGGAAACTGATTAGATACGGAAGAATTATGATTTGAGTTTGCTGCAATAAATTGTGTGTGGTGGGGATCCATTGAGCAAGAATTTGATCAATGATTTTTTTAGAGAAGTTCCCAACGGTTAGTATTCATCAGGATACACTTTAAGACGTCGGGGTTGTGCGCGTCAATACGTACATAGGAAAAGTTGTAAGTACGACACTATAGGGCTGTTGTCGACCTTGGAGACCAAAATTTTGGACACTGTAACTAGAAAGCTCTTGAAGGTTAATTAAAAAGGTGAGCTTTGGGTTGGGTTCCTTTGTCATGAAAGATACTTAAGTTTGGGGGAGAAGAAGTTGAAGAGAAACGGCATTAAATTGGATGAAAGTTAGATTACACATGGACCAATCAAATTGATAGGACGCCAACAGATGCACACAAAAGGGGCAGAGGAATTTTGTTCAATATAAACAACGGGAAAAAAAAAGATAAAAGCAAGGGAGAACTATCATCATCTCCAAATCCCACTTTTGACAAAGCTAAAAGAAAGCCATCCGACGGCTATATTTGATTTTGATGCACGTTATAATATTGTTTCCCCCCCTATTATCAACGTACGCATCCAAGACCTAGAGTAGTATAATTATTTTTTCCCATGTTAATCAGTGTCATTATCACTATAATTTAAAAAATCCCTAAGAAAAAATAATAACTTATATAATATGCTTAGTTAATAGGAGGAGGTCTGTATACAATATTAAAATATAAAAAAGTAGGGGAAAAAAGTCGTCGTTTGGTTGTTGTCATGGCTAGGGCGACGTATTCCGGTCCTGGAACAGAGGCCCGTAACTTAATCAAGGATTGTTTTAGGTTTTTGATTATTTTTGGTGAGTTGTATCTCATTAATTTACTTCAATTATTAATTAATTAAGCTCAAAGTTTTGGAATTCTTGGTTTCTCCTTTTTGGACCTTTTCTGTTCTGCTTCTTCCTCGCCTGGTATATTCTTTATTGCTTTACAGATATTCAAATTAAATTACAATTTCCTTCTTCTTATTCTCAGAATTATTGGCTTATTATATGGCACTTTGCCTGTCCGCAGGCTGGCCGCGATATAGTAATAATATTTTTATTATTATTGCATTCTGCAAAAGAAAATGATATTTGAAAACTAGTATGTGAAGTTTAAGTTATTATGTCATTTGTTGACTTGCTAATGTATTTCAATGACATAATTGAAATGTATTAAGTATAATTTTAACAGATATTATGACCCCAATAGAAAAACTTGTCAGCCACGTGCACGTTTGATTATTTTGTTTATTACAACTGTAATTAATCAATGAGGAAGAATCCGTCAGATTACATAAGAAGAAGGATTTTGACTTTAGAACCCTAAACCTAAACACTTTGAACTTGTTCACTCGCTCATTCCCCGTCTATAACTTTTGAAGTTCAAGTTCCAACTACACCCATAAACGTGTGTGCCTCGTTTTTTTCATCTAGCTGAATTGGATGATTAATCTTATATAAGAATGAAACTCTGATAGAAATATTCATAAATGGAAGAAGCTCAACTGCTCAAGCTTCTGTTAAATTATATATATATCAAAAGGATACTGCCACCACATTTGTATGGTTAGCTATAAACACATGTATTATTGACATCAAAGACATATCCTATACACGAAGTTGCTATAATTATTTAAATCCGACTTCTCGACTTTAGGTTGAATAACTTTCTCTTTTATCACTAAAGTCACTTAGTGGGTTCGGTTTGGATATTTAGTATTAAAAATAGAGCTTGCATTTATGGAATAACAAGCCAAAAATGTTGATGACCAGAAAAGGTATTGTTCTTTAAGAACGTTAATGACCAATTAAGGAATGTTGGCATGGCATGCAACAAGTTCTAGACAATAGCTAGCCAGAATGCGTAAATGAGACTGCGGAAGAATAACTTAATGTTTTTACTTGATCAGCAAAAGCCTAGCTATATACAATGGATTTTTCTAAAGGAATCTAGCATGCTGGCTGGACATTCCAAAGGAACATTTCTGACATGTAATAACATGAACATGAGTATACAATGCAAGAAAATGCATGCACATGCACATCAGTTAATCATCTGGCAAAAACTAGACATTCAAGCTTCACAATTCCCTAGTTCAACAATCAGCATAAGATAATGAGTACGAAAACACAATATAAAAAGAAAATATAAATTACAGTCACTATTGATTAATTAAGCTTGAACCTTGAACAATGACTCAACGAGATAAATTATTACTGGGGTTTTTAGTCCAAGATTCTAGAACCCACCATCTCCTATGCTATGGTGCTCCTCCTGGATACCTCATCTCACTAAAAGCATGTTATTGTAGCATTCCGTGTTGTCTGCCTCCGTATTCTGAAGCACAAGGAGAGCCAACCAGAGAGTTTGTATCAGCCATGCAAATGCTTTCACAAGAGTTCACAGCTCTATTATTCATCATTTCTTCATCATATAAGAACTCCATTCCATTAATCTCTGTGTGCTATTATATCCCATTTCCTGTAGCTCTGATGAAAAAGTATTGTTTTTTCCTTGCAACATGTGCAGGTTTGCTTCATCTATGGTGTACTGAGAGTTCACAAACTTAGCATCGATGTTATTGTTTAAGTTCAAGGCATCCATGGGAGAAGAAGAGGAAGAAGAAGGTATATAGATAGTCTGCTCATAAAGATGTTGATCGGTGGAGGAAGGATCGTTAGGAAGAGTTGTCTCCTCATCGTTAATCACATGATCATCATCTGAAAATCTTCCTCCAAGCTTGATTAGTAATCTTCTCACCGAAGCTTGGCTGTCAATTCGATGATCTTGAGTACTTGAGTGTGGCAAGGGCGGCGCTGTCGCCTCGGGTACAGGCAACTCTGGCCAGTAAGGGCTTTTTTTGTTGTTATGATCATCTTGAACCATGGAATCCCCCACGTTAGCTGATCTCTTCATATCTTGCTCCAGGTTGTTGCCTCGACCAGACTGTTTCTCTTTGCATTGCTTGCCAAGAAGCTTCTTCTTAAGCCTCGTGTTCCAGTAGTTCTTTATATCATTATCAGTCCTCCCCGGTAATTGTGCAGCGATTATAGACCACCTATTAACGATCATGCAAGGTTTACTCTCTTAGACATGAAAAACGTTTGGTTGAAATGAATCAAACATAGGGTTTGCGCTTCAGTTGGTTTTAAGAAGGGATTTTAGGACCAACAATACCTGCTGCCAATACTGATATAGAGGCTACGAATAATCTTATCTTCTTCTTCGGAGAATCCACCATGCTTAATGTTTGGGCGGAGATAGTTTAACCATCTGAGACGACAGCTCTTCCCACATCTCTTAAGGCCTAAGGTACAAAAAAAAAAAAACCTTTTAGAATCTCATCGAATGCCATAAAACAGAAATTAGGCAACAGCCCAAAACAAGATATGAAGAGATCAGCTGATGATAATGGATTTGTTGTTTATCTTAAAGTATTACCAATTTTCGGAGGCAAAGCTATCCAGTTTCCAGCATTACCATGCATCTCGATATATGCCTTGAGCTTGGCATCTTCTTCGGGAGACCATGGACCTTTCTTGACGTTAGTTTTTTCACAGCAAGGAGCACTCCCCATGCTTTTTCTTAGTATTCCTTTTTGATATCTTCTCTCTTTCCACCGAAGCAAGAATTATTGGAGAGAGAGAAAGAGGAATGGGAATTATAAAAGGATAAACATGTTTCTGATAAGATCCTTATATGTTTATATACGTGTTCTTTGAAAAGAAAAGAAAAAATATGGCATAAGAAAGATTGGTATAAAAAATTGTAGAAAACGAAGATGCCCCATAACAAGAGAATAGGGTTTTTTTTTTTCTACTTGTCTGCCTCAGTCTACTATAATGCCAGTAATCAATAATTAATTTTATACATAAAGATTGCCGGTTATTTTAACCTATGTTATCTGAATTGAATTTAACCTTAAGATAATGATAGCGTTAAATTTTATATTTTTATTTATATATTTAAAGTATTATTTCTATTTTTATTCAAAATATTTTTAATACAATATTTAAGTTAGATTAAACTTGGTCCATTTATAAATTAGAAGATAATATATGCATAAAATATGTTTAAACTCAAATTTTTCTAAATATTATAATACTAACAATTAATATATATATCAAGTGAATTAAGATTCTATTAACAATACAATATAATTATTTTTTCAATGATATATTCTTAATTTATGAATCTATAAATTAGATAAATGAATATTTATAAGATGTATGTGCTTCTAATCGCACATCACTTATGTGATAAAAAATGCCCAAGATTCAGCAGGCTGCAGGGCTAATGCTCCCTTTATTTAACCCCAAAACCCCATCTCCTCTAATAAAAAGTTTGGCAAGTATTAATAATTTTCAATTAGTTTTTTTAATTAATTTTCAATTAGTTTGTATTATCGGCATGCAATAATTCTTTTTTGTACTTTGGTCGTGTGATTGTAATTGCTGATATTGAAGTTACATTTGCAGAAAAAGAAAATAGTCAGATTCCTCCAAACAGTAATTATATTCATATTTTATGAGTACATATCATCATTGATTAGTGGAACGCTGTGTTTATCTGCAGTATAGCATTTTTTTCAATATATGCACGTGAAAGTATGATCTATGTATTAATTTGTACCATTCACAGCTGAACCTTAAGTTATTAGGCTGCGAAACCCAAAATCAGATATCTCAAATTACCAAGTACATAAATTGATTAATCCAACTTAGACTCCAGCTATTATAATTTACATACTATTCATAAGCAAATTACCAAGTACGTGGAATTGAAAACCAAACCAGATTGGCTATATGCAACTACTGCCAGTACAAAAAAGACCACATCCCAACTCAAGTACGCTGTAAACGGAATTGTGTAGCAAATGGATTGATAAACTGTTTGACATATGATACATCAAATTATATAAGAATTGAAGAGGCTAATGGATCTCGACCGTCCATCCTTTCTTATCCTCGATGCGACCAGTTTGCAGTCCCACCAGAGTCGAGTAGAGTTCTTTGGAAACCAAGCTACCCTCTGTTTTGAATTCAATTCTGCAAATATCCATAAATTCACAGGGTTTAATAAAAATCCAGATAGATTAACAACACCCACTTCCAGTTTTCTATGGATTATTAACATCTTATCTAAATTCTGTTAGTTACCTTTTGCTCTGATATGTAATGCTACCTACTGGAGCAACTCCAACCGCAGTTCCAGTGCAAAAAACTTCATCAGCATCAACCAAGTCATCCACTGGAATTGCCCGTTCCTCAACCTAAACGCATTAGTCTCTTATTAAACCGTTTTTTATTTTTTTTTTGCAGTTTTTGAACTTTGAAGTTGTGTGTCAAATAATCACCTGGTAACCTTGAACCCTAGCAATCTCGAGGATGCTTTTTCGAGTTACCCCTGCAAGAATAGTTCCATTTGTAGGAGGAGTCGAAATATGATTTCCCTATAAAGGTGGTCATTAAGGTTCGTTAGTTGACGTGCTGAGAAACCAGTAATTAGTCTTCCTTCAAAATCCATCAATACCTTCACAATGAAAATATTACAGGATGAGACTTCCTCCAGATACTTCCTATTCATGGCATCAAGGTATAGAACATCAGAAAATCCTCTTTCTTTTGCTCTCGCTATTGCTTTCAGAACCTGTAACAATCGCATAATAAGTCTACACTAGGAGAAAATAGAGTAAAAAAAGAATCAACATTCCAACATTGAAATGCAAGTATGTTACACACTGGAGCATAATTTGTGATTGATTTGACGCCTCCTGCTCCTCCAGGAGAAGCACGAACAAATTCTTCATCGATATATAAGTTCAAAGGTGCAGTACCCTCCTGAATCCAGATATTCACAACATAAATAAGACTTTCTTCTGGAAATACAAGGATTGAAAAGGAGGGGGGAAATAGGTTGAATTATAAAGAAAGTCCACCTTGAAATAGTTGCGGACAGGGGAAGCATAAACAATAAATGTATATTCCGGGGCAGGTGCCAAACCTAAAATCGGACCAGTCCCCAAAAGCAGAGGCCTAACATACAGTGACCCTTTTCCCGGTGGAGGAATCTGCACGGAATCAATTCTTAAATTTGTAAGGAAAACTGAGTAATATTTGTACAAAGAAGCATAGATTAAAAATGTACCCAACGCTTGTTAGCAAATACAGTTTCTTTCACTGCATCAACAAATTGTTGAATGGAAGGTGATGGCATCAACATTCTTTCAGCCCCATGCTTCATTCGACTGGCGTTTTGTGCTGGACGGAACAGAAGAATTCGTCCATCCTCTGCCCTGTAAGCTTTCGTGCCTTCATATATGCCCTGTATACGGTTTTCTGAGCTGAATTATCAATTATATCATTCTGACCTAATGAGAAAATATGATAGTGACTTTTTTATAAAAAAAAAGAACGTCTTTATCCAAATATTGACTCAAAGTTTAGTCTTGCGTGTAAAACATGTATCAAATATCCAAATTAAAATATAATAATAGTTAACAAGAAAGTTCGGTAAATGGGATTGTCTCCAACTCAGCACCCAGTAGAGAAATACTTTTTTTTTCATATTTGTTGATTAGGCGAAAAGGGAAGATGGAGTGCTTGCCTGGCCATAATTTAAGACGCCAGAGGAAGGGCTTATTTCAAGATTTGCGTAGCGATTAAGTCGTCCCTCTTTAAAGTTTTCGTCTTTCGAACATTTCATTACGTACATGTATTCAGTAGGCGTCAGACCAAATCCAAGTTTATCCCAATCCACATCAGCCAACTCATCGTCGTCACTATTTTCAAATTAGTTTTTTAGAAGGAGAAAAAAAACAAAATGAAGTTAGGTAATCGAATAAAATATTCAGCATGGTCGAGAATAAATTAATAATCACCGCCATGATCTTGAGTAGTTTAATAATTTTTCTCCTTATCCAAAACATTCATGAAGATGACGGTAAAACTTTCGAGATAATGTTCTCGAACAAATTAATTCACGAGATAATACACTCTTCAAATTAATTGCTCAAATAGGGTGAAATCCACAGTGTTATGCGACCTATGCTTGGGGACGTGCATGTGTCATGCAACACGTTCATTCTCTCTCTATGTTCGTCGGGAAGCTAACCATGTAGTAGATCGCCCGGAAGGCATGGCTACCTACGGCCAACACTGTGGATTTCACCTTATTTGAGCAATTAATCTTGAGAGAGCATTATCTCGTGAAATAATTTGTTCGAGAATATTATCTCGAGAGTTTAGCCATTTTCTCAATATCCATCAACGAAGATTAAACTTTTCAGGCACATACATGAAACATGCATTTTGTAGCTAGAACCCAACATCGCACACCAAATTGAAAACCGTGAAAATTTGATAAAACTTCATTGGGCTAAAACCATATTTTAGATCAATTTTGTAGGGAAAATGACGAATCCCCTGTTTTCTGGAATTACCTGTAAGCAGATGGTTGACTAGCAATTTGCAGAGAAGCAACGGCCTGAGATGTATACCCTCGATAATTTACAAACTATAAACATGTATAAAACAACATATTAGTTGTACTTTTTCAGCCCAAATTCAACGTTTACCTCCTTTGGTTTCATTGAAAATAAACAACTTACAAGCTTGCACACAAACCTGGGATACAGAAAACAAGTTGAAGCTAACTTAACCTTGTCTTCCAGATGTTAAATCTCAGGAAAATATAGACTAAGTGACCAATAGAAAATCGAAATGTAAAAAATAAAATTACTGTCGTAAAACGACGAGTTAAACAGGAAAATATATTCGAATCATAAAAATCCAGCGATGGAAAAAGAAAAACCATGGTACCAGATACTCTGAAAGGAAACTGAAAATGAAAGGATGGACGTTTTCATGCAAAGAAAAACACTAGAAGCTGACGAATAGAACAAGAGACAACGTCATAGATATATTATCCAAAGGGAATATAATTTCACCATAACATATACCTTGGATGGAAAAAAAGAAGCAGACCGTAAGGATTGAACCAGGTTGCGTATGCGAGAACTCCCTTGAATCATGGTGTTTGTTTTTTTTAACACAATCGTCTCTGAAGAAGGAAAACTCAGTTTGGGTTTATTAAGAAGGTTCAGAGTATAACAGCTAAGGAGTAACGATTTGGAGGAGAGAACTATCCGGAACGAAAAAGGTACGAAAACAAAGGAGATAATTATCGAGTTCTTATAACTAAAGGTTGACACCCAACTTTTAAATTTAAGGGTTAACTACACAGATGATCATTTATTTTTGTGTTTTGTTCACTTTTGATCATTAATTTTAAAAAATATAATATATGGTCACTTTCATTTTTATTTAATTAAGATATGATTACTTTCATTTTTATTTAATTAAGTTATGGTTACTTTCATTTTTATTTATCAATTTTTTTCATAATTCATATTACAAATAAAATGTAGCACTTAATACATACTTACAACGGTGTAAGTAAATAAAATAAAAAAGTGTAACACTTAACACATACTTATACTGATGTAAGTATGTACATCTCCCAATATCTTAGTACCTAATAATAAACATATAATTATATTGGTATAAGTATGTTTCTATATTTTTAAAGAAATAAAAATAATATATATATATTAAGTTATTTGTATACAAATTTTATTAAAATATATATAAAAATTATAAATAATAGAAACTTATATTAAGTTATTTATGTAAAAATATAATAAATTATAAATATAATTATAAAATTAATTTATTAACGATTAACCGTTTGCTAATCGTTTATCAAAATTTGTAATTGTAACCTTAACCGTTAACTATCATTTTTAGCGGTTTGGTTAACCGAAACCGTTTAGTATTAACGGTTTGGTTAATTAACCTGTTAAATATAAATGTTAGACAGGTTAATAGTTAAGGTTAACGAATACAATTAAGGGTTTCGAGTTTTTTTGAACACCCCTAGCGGTCACCCTGAGTTAACTGTTATTAATAGCAGTTAAATATTTTGATATAATCACACACCTGGTCCTTGTTATTTACATTTTCTCTCAATTATTCCTACTTTTAAATATTTTATGTTAGTTTGTTAACTATAAGATATATTCAACTCATGTATATGATAAAGCAAGTCTAATTATATTGTTTATCAACTATCATTTTATCACATTCTCTTATATCTTTGGTCACTCTAAACACTTATAAATTTGTTTTATTATCTTTTATCAATTTAATTTTGTCAAAATATTTATAAAATTCACAAAACTTTAACACTTATCTCTTTCTTAGAGGCGTAAAAACTTTGTCGGATTTAATCGTTTTGGACACGGTTAACAAAAAATTTAAATAGTAAGAAACATGTTTTCAATGAGAAAAATAATATATTATAAAACTAACTTCAACGAGCCATTATCGACAGAGATTTAAGCATTAGAAGATTAAAATTCTGACTCAATTTTCATTGATTTTGAATGAATTTTGAGAAAAACAAAATTATTGAGAAGAAAATGGGGGATAAAAGGTAAACATTGTTGTACCATCTATGTCATGTACGTTGGTAGATAATAATTGAAAGGATTTAAGATCTTTTTACAAAAGGTAAAATCGTATCATAAATTGCGTTAAAATATTAACGGTTTGATGACTAAAAAAGAATTAGAAAACTTTAGTACTATAATTTTAACTTTTTATAGCTCAATGATAAAAACATATGGTCAAAGTTTAATATTTAAAAAAGTATTTTACCTTTTAAAAAATAACAATCACAAAATAAGCATAATAAAGGAACTAAAATGAGAATTCGACCTTTAAGGTTTCAAATTAGGACTAAATTGAGAGAATATGTAAATAAAAGGGATCAAATATGTGATTATATCAAAATATTTAAATGTTGTTAATGACATTTAACTTAGTTGACCACATCTTAATTAAATAAAAACGAAAGTAACCATATCTTATGTTTTTTTAATTCAGTGATCAAAAGTGGACAAAACACAAACATAAGTGATAATCTATGTAGTTAACTATAAATTTAATTTATTTTTATTTAAAAATTCACATTTCAATTTTAAAAAAGTACACATGTAGTACAAATTAAGGAACTTTTAAAATTTACACATTTTACTGGTAAAAAAATTAGGGTAAAGTATACAAATGATCCCCTGACTATAGGGTATTGCTTTATTAAGTCCCTCAACTATTAAAAGTAAAAAGATGGTCACTCAACTATTCATTATGTCCCAAAATCATCATTTTTCGTTAAAAATTGACAGTTGTCTAAGATGAACGTTAGCACGATGATTGTGATATGATAATCATTTGAGATTTTGGGATTAGATTTTATCATATCACAGTCAGCAAGTTAACATTCAGATTAAAATATCGTTAGGTGACTATTTTGTAACTTTTAATAGTCGAAGGACTTAATAAAGCAACACTATATAGTCGAATGATCGTTTTGTAACTTTTAATAGTCAAGAGACATTATAAAGTAGTATCATATAGTCGAGAGATTATTTGTGTACTTTAACAAAAAAAATTATTGTTATTCCTTGAAGTCTTAAATTCGAACGTTATAAATGTAAGGGATATATGTGTTCAATGATGGTTAAAAATTACCTTGAAATCACCCTAAACTAATAAAAAAAAGTTTACACGTGTGAAAATGGGTTTTCCCAAGCGTGTAAAATTGTGATTCAATTTAGTGGGAAGGGTTGGTTTGAAACAGCGGGAAAAAAATATTGTCAAGGAGAATAATCTTTTTTGGAATAACATTCCCACATTTGATTCATGGAAAAAATTATTCCCATGTAATAATCTTTTCCTAGTAGTAGCATTTTTTTTGTTAAAAGAGTGAGAATGTCGTTATCTCTAAATTCTTAGGTATTAGACAATTCACACTACTTTGAACAAGAATACCCCTAGAAAAATGAATTCTTTTTATAATGATCATTTTCAATTCTTATTTTTTGTATTTTACTAAAAAATATAAATATAATAATAATATACAAAGAGTTTAATTTAGTAAAATATTAACAAATTTGAGTATTTAAAATTATTTTATATTATTAATATTCAATATAGTAAATATTTATAATTTTATGAGTTGAAAAATAATATGATCATAAAATTACAGTTATTTAAAATATTATCTAATTTTAAGTTATTAAAAATAAATGTTATACGTTGAAAAATAATATCTTTGAGCACTCGAGATCATAATATTATTTTTTCATGTTGTATTATATTTTATATAAATAAATATGATACTTATGAAAATTATTTAAAAATGTAAATTTAGTATACTAATTATATATTAAATGTATTTTTTCTAAAAAATAAGATAGTATAATGTTGAGTTAATCGATCGACGGAATCGGCCAAGAGGGGGGTGAATTGGTAATTAAAAATTTCGTGGAAGCTTTTGCAGAAAAATTGAAAGTAATTGCACAGCGATTTACAGTGGTTCGACTTTCTCAAACAAAGTCTACGTCCACTACCTTAGCTATCCACACTAAGGATTTTCCAACAAATTCACTAATTTGTTCTTTCTTTTGAGGCCAAAGAGATAACCTTACAAAATCCCTCAAGAGTATACCCCAACTCTTGAGAACACTCTTTTTCCTAAAGAGAAGATTACAAATTTGTAAACTTACAAGAAAACCTCACAAGGTAAGATGTTTGCACAATTCTAGAACAAGAAAAGAACACTCAAAGATAATTACAAATGAGCACAAATGGTGTTCTTGAAAGCAAAATGAATATTGAAAGGAAAATTGGCTTGATTTGCACAAACTTGGTGTTTGATGCTTTCTCTCTTGTTTCTCTATAATTTCTTGTTGATCAAGGGCTTCAGAACTTGTTTAAATACACCTTGAATCTCTTCTGAACGTTGGGGATGATTAGTGAAGATCATATAGCCGTTTTAGTGTGAAAACAATTAATAAAACAGTTTGGAGCGTGGGGGGAATCGGTACCCCCTATGGGGAATCGGTTCCCTAAGTAAAATTCAAATATTTCGACCGTTGAACAGGGGGAATCGGTACCCCCTATGGGGGAATCGGTTCCCTCTGAGCATTCTGGAAATCTCGGAGCCAAACCCTTCAGGGGGGAATCGGTACCCCCTTGTGGGGGGGGGAATCGATTCCCTTTGAGCAATCTGGAATTTTTGACTTTGAAATGGTTCGAAATACTTTGAAAGATTATTTTGAAATTGTTTTAAGATTAAAACTTATTTTTACACTTAAGTAAGGATTAAAAATGATTTTTTGAAATATTTTGAGTAATGTTTTGATATTCGAATAATTATATCGAATATACTTAGAAAATCATTTTGGAAAATCTTAAAATTCATTTAACTTAATTTGTTATATCGAAATATCAAAATGTTTTCAACAATCTCCCCCTTTTTGATATAACAAAACATTTTAGTAATTTTTAAGATTTTGAAATCAAGTTTTGAAATTACTCCCCCTTACTTTAACACTTCTCCCATTTATCATTTTTTAAAAACACACACTTAAAACACACTTCTCCCCCTTTTTGTTAAATAAAAAAAGATTCAAATGAACGTGAAAAATATTAATCCAATTGTTTAGGTATATGTATGCATAAGCTGCTAAGATCACAATTGAGAGAAACATTAGCCATTAGTTCCGTAATCAAATATTCATAAATAATGTGATATGGCAAAATTGGTCATATTGCTAATAATGATGTAAATGATGCAATAACGAATAAAACACACCAAACATATAAGTTCACACCATCCATAAATCCAAAATCCAACAATCCACAAAATCAAACATTCCAAAATATTCAAAATGTTAAAACAATAAGTTTGGAGTTCAAAGTAAAACATTTAATCACATATCCGGATCAGGAGGAGGAAATCGAGCTCGCATAGCGGCCATTTCGTTAGTGAGATCATTAATACGTGCATTGGTTGCTTCATTATTTGCACGCATTTCCCGAAGAATTTCTAATTGTTGAGCTCCCATTGTGGATAGATGGGACTCTATAGAAGTAAAGCGCGAATCCATGGTCGCATATCGGTAATCAAATGTCTCCATAAAAGATTAAAAATATGGAAGCATTTGAGTCGATTGTTGTGCGTGCTCCTCGGGTTGCTCAGGCTCATCTTCAACTTCATCGATATCCCTCATTAATTGGTCAAACTCTAGATCTTCGTCAGCTTCGGGTGGAGCTTGTGAAGAACTAGCTCC